TCAATAACAGTCAGTGTCTGGAAACCCAATTATTCCAATAACGACATTTATACCACAACGATATTTCAGCATAACTACAGTATTGCTTGAGTGGTTAGACTTCTGTTTCCAATTATAGTCCTAGATATTAAATATTATAATTTTACCTCAATTATACGTCAATCTTCATAAAAGGTTAAATGTAATAGTACCCAGAACCTCTGTCTTTAAATGGCCGAGCTGTATATGAAGTCCACCAAAATATACAAGTTTAACTATGTAAGATTTATTTGACAAAATTTAAATATTGTTATATTATATTTGTCATATAGGACATATGTCTTACATCATTTAAAAACATTAACAAAAGGAATAGTTCAACCAAAAATGAAATATTGCACATGAGTTTTACACAAAAAAGCAATTGAGCTATTATGTTAAAGTTATGAGCTTATGTGTATTATTATTTTATCACACCACTGAACCATTCCATTCTAATGGTACATAAACACTTCCTGTTACATTTCCAACAGCATCCTCTCTAGTGCCAACTTATTCACAGTATCACGTTGCCTTGGTACTGCACTTCAGCCCCCACACCACTAGATATCACTGTTCTTCTTAGGCAAGCACTTTTCCCAAGGACTGTATGGAAGAGCAAGGACCAAAAACAAGGCCCCAGCAAAAATGACCAGAGCCCCGGCACAGCCTACACACGTCACTGACCAGGACAATTCGTGGTGTAGAGGTATGGATTGGTCACTTGCTAAGAATGAAAGCACTGATTGGTGGAAAACTATGAGGCAGAGGAAGATTAAGACACCTGTTGAGAGACAGAGAGGAAAAAAGAATATTATCAGATGTATACACACCTATGTTACTTGGCTTTTATTAGCAATATGGATAATAAGTGCATTGTCTTTTCCAAATTTCTTGCTCTTTATGTTATTACTCCAATTTTTAATCCAGTGCCATGCTGCACTTTTGTGTGTTGATTCTTTGCAATTTTGTGAAATTTCCTAGCGAGTTCTGACTAAAAATTGTTTCTACACCATTTGTTAGGTGTGTATGTGTACAGTGCATGTCATTTAGCATAGATGTCTGATTCAAAGTGATAGGAGTGAAACAACTCTGAAATATGTATTGTAAAGAAACCAACAACCCATACAAATATTAAAATCAGTGTACACACTAATGTTCAAATGTTTGTGGTCAGTATGACTTTTTAATAAATTAATCTTTTTCAGCATTAATGCATTAAATAGAGAAAAAGTGACATAGTAAAGACATTTATAATGTAAAAAAAAAAATCAGTTTTAAATAAATGCTGTTCTTTTGAACTTTCTATTCATCAACGAATCCTGAATAAACTGCATCATGGTTTCTACAAAAATATTAAGCAGCTCAACTGTTTTTACCATTGATTATAAGAAATGTTTCTTGAGCAGTAAATCAACATATTAGAATGATTTCTGAAGTATCACGTGGCACTGAAGACTGGAGTAATGATGCTGAAAATCCAGCTTTACCATCACAGTAATAAATTACATTTTAAAATATACAAAAATAGAACACATTTTAAATTTAATAATGTTACAATATTGCTGTTCTACTGTATTTCCGATCAGTTGAACCCTCAATTGTTCCCCGGGCGCCGCAGCAAAAATGGCTGGCCACTGCTCCGGGTGTGTGTTCACTACTCACTGCTGTGTGTGTGCACTTGGATAAATGCAGAGCACAGATTCCAAGAATGGGTTACCATACTTGGCTGTCACGTCACTCACCTTTTTTTTCCCCCACACATCAAATAAATGTAACCCTGGTGAGCATAAGAGATTTCTTTCAATAATATTCGAAAATCTTACCGACCCCAGACTTTTGAACAGTAGTGCATTTGTAATATTTAGTTTAGAGGTGTTGGCCAATAGCATAATAATATTACCTGACAGTATGAAGCAAACTGCGGCTGGCTTCAAGAAGAATTGAACACCTTTGTTTACTGCCATGATAATGCAGATAGTTCCCATCACCATCAGGAAAAGACTAATGATAGCAAACATGGCCGACACTACTGTCAGATCTGATGGGAGAAGAGGAGATTTAATGCACACATACTGAGCTGAACATTCTAATGTATACCATTTAGAACATGTTTTACTTTAAAGGTGCACTCTGTAAGGTTTGGTTTACATTTACTTCTTTGTTCAAGTGTTCTTAGACTTTACATTGACATAGATGCATAAATGTTTATTAATTGCTGTGACTTCATACTTCTTCTTTGTCTATATACTGTATATAGCAGGGGTGGCGAACGTCAGTCCTGGAGAGCCACAGTCCTGCAGAGTTTTGCTTCAACCCTAATCAAACACACCTGAACAAGCTAATCGAGGTCTGAAGGGTTACTAGGAAGCTACAGGCAGGTGAGTTTTAATTAGGGTTGGAGCTGAACTCTGCAGGGCTGCGGCTCTCCAGGACCGGAGTTCGCCACCGCTGGTATATAGCAATGATGTTTTCCCAACTTTTTTGTTTTTGCTGTCAGTTTCAAGACACTCATGTGCAGTAAGAGTATATCATCTTATTGACATTTCTTAAAAGTAAATTCATTAACCTTTTAATTAGCACAATATTACTGAGTGCACCTTTAAATATGTTTATACAGGTAATGTTCTTAGAAAATTGGGTAACACTTTACAATAAGGTTCCATTAGTTAACGTTAGTTGAATGTAGATCAATTCATTAGTTACAGCATTTATTCATATTAACTTAATAGTTAATAAAAATACGGTAACACTTTACAATAAGGTTCCATTAGTTAATGTTAATGTATTAACTAACATGAAAAAACAATGAACAAGGCATTTATTACAGTATTTATTAACCTTTGTTAATGTTAATACAGTTGTTCATTGTTAGTTCATGTTAATTCACAGTGCATTAAATGTTGTTAACAAGCACAATTTCTGATTTTAATAATGCATCAGTAAATGTTGAAATTAACATTAACTAAGATTAATAAATGCTGTAGAAGTATTGTTCATGCTTAGTTCATGTTAGCTAAAGTAGTTAACTAATGTTAACTAATGAACCTTATTGTAAAGTGTTACCAGATACATACAACTGTTCATTGTTACTTCATTTTAGCACAGGTCCATTAAATGATATTAATAGACACAACTTTTGATTTTAACAATGTATTAGTAAATGTTGAAATGAAAAAGCTAAGATTAATAAATGCTTTACAAGTAAATGGAACCTTACTGTAAAATGTTACTGAAAATTGGTACAAAACTGGTGCAAAATCTTCTGTGGGAAATGTAATGTTTCATTCCTTAATTTATTGTAAAATGTTCCATGCCACCCTCATATCTTAAAACTACCATAGTATCTTATTTTATCAACAAATCAAAAATGAATTGGTCAGGGTATGAACAAAAACCTCAAATATTTTTCAATAATTTATTTTCAATAATCGCTGGGATCAGATCATACGTAATGCCAATATCTCTTAAACATATTTTATTCAACTGTGCTGGGTTAAGTTCTCATAGGAAATTATATCACTCTGCAAAGACTTTTGAAAATAGCCAAGGAAGCTGGCATGGTATTAAAACTCCAACCATCCAATCATTACTTTATTTGATTTGATTTCTTTTATATTATTATTCATTCTATTTGGCGCTGCTCATACAACATCTACATTTCAAGTTTTGGTGAAAAATCAAATGTGTATATGGCGTCAGCACTCCGTGACGACACAAAGAAAGACACATTAGTGCTATGGGATCTAAAGATAGAGATGGGGATGTGGGATGACTCACCCTTTTCTGGCGTTTTCTGAAATAGGACAATGTTCTCTCCAGTGGTGTAGAACTTAAAGAAGGTGCAATTGGATTCTATAATGGGATCCAAAAAGGTGATGTTATTCTGATGGATTATTCAGAATTCTCCTACTCCAGTTGAGACATTTTTCACAAAAGCTCTTACCTCCCTGTAAGTGCAAAGACCCACAGATCTCCTGCTTTGGGTCCATATCTGACACCCAGAACGTCTTGGTACAGCATTTCCATAAGCCATAATGTACTACCAGACAAGTCTGATTGTTGTAGAAGCTCTTGGATGGTTTAAGCTCCACCCAGAACTCTGTTCCCACCCCGAGCACGGAAAGCATGATGCCGGTTACAGCCATGAATAACGTCAGCTTGATTTTGCCCTCTTGGCTTTCGCTAATGCCATCTCCAGAACTGGAGTGTGTTATGTGTCGGCGTTTGCATCCGCCGCCCCGTGATCCCAAAAACCCTCCCAGCCCACCAGAAGGTTGGTGCACTCCAGGAGATGTATTCACCGTCCTTATCTCTTCATCCTGAACGATGAATGAGGACCACATGATTGACTTGGAGGCTCAAAGATCCAGATAAATGAACGAGAGGCAGCGGCTTGTTTTGAAAGGACATTTAAGTCTTAGATGTTTGAGATCAAAATAATCAGATGAGATGACAAACAAAGACTGTTAGTGCTGGAGTCTGAGTTAGATTGATCCAGCAAGATCAATCTAGGCCAGTCTAATGTGTTTCTAATGTAGGCCTTGTCAGAAGAAGATGCGGCTGAGGATGTTAATAATGGAGGCGTTAAGGCCAGATAGATAGCTGAAGGATGCTGGGAGCTGCAGGACAGGGGAAGGCATTGCCTATTCACACAAAGAGTGCTGACATGAGGGCTAATACAGCTTGAAGATGTGAATGATGAAATGATGAAGTCAGCAGTTGGGGCTGGTTACTCTAAAAAAAAATCAAGAACATGATGAAACAGTAAATCAAACTTAAGCACAGTTTTATGAGGTGGAGGAGTGTCACCAACTACCCCATAATATGCTACAGTATATGTTGCAAGATGTATGTCATGATTCATTTATTGCAGTATCATAACTGGATCAATTTGGCCATTCATTTTTAAATCAATATTTTGAATGTATAAGATTTTTTGATGTTTTTGTTGATGTTGTTTTTGCCATTTGAAGGATGCTGGGAGCTGCAGGACAGGGGAAGGCATTGCCTATTCACACAAAGAGTGCTGACATGAGGGCTAATACAGCTTGAAGATGTGAATGATGAAATGATGAAGTCAGCAGTTGGGGCTGGTTACTCTAAAAAAAAATCAAGAACATGATGAAACAGTAAATCAAACTTAAGCACAGTTTTATGAGGTGGAGGAGTGTCACCAACTACCCCATAATATGCTACAGTATACGTTGCAAGATGTATGTCATGATTCATTTATTGCAGTATCATAACTGGATCAATTTGGCCATTAATTTTTAAATCAATATTTTGAATGTATACGATTTTTTGATGTTTTTGTTGATGTTGTTTTTGCCATTTCATAATGCAGTCTTTAGAGTGTTAAAAGGATAGTTTACCCCAAAAATAGTTTTGGTCATTTTTCTTTGAATTTCTTTGATTTTTGTGAAACACAAAGTATACTTTGAGATTTTTTCCCCCCATACAGTGGAAGTCAGTGGCCACCAAATCTTCAAAATATCTTATTTTGTGTTTCATGAATATATAACTACTTGCTAAACTACAGAATTGTAGTATGTTTACAATTATAGTCTTAATTTAAGTGATTAAATGTGTCAGTAAAGACTTTTATATTGTTACAAAAATATTTTATTTCAAATAATTGCTGTTTCTATATATTGTATATATATCAATATTATGTAAATATAATCTATATTTACATTATCTACTATAGTCGCTATTATTTCTATTAGTCCTGAAAAAAGTATCATGGTTTACACAAAAATATTAAGCAGCACATCTGTTTTCAACATTAATATTAATAATAAGTAATGTTTCATGAGCAGCAAATCAGCATATTAGATGATTTCTGAAGGATGTGACACTGAAGACTGGAGTAATGGCTGCTGAAAATTCCGCTTTGCCATCACAGGAATAAATTACATTTCACACTATATTTTTGATATTTTTGGTCAAATAAATGCAGCCTTGGTGGGCTTAAGAGACTTCTTTCAAAAGCATTTTCTATGCTGAGCGTAATCACATGTCACAGCAAACCCCCATGATTTTGATTTCAAAATAACAGTCTCACTGTAGCACCACCCACAAAAATAAATAAATAATTAAAAACAATTAATTGTTTGACTTTTAATAGTAACAGTGTAACAATGTAAAACTTACAATTTATTTGTATGCCTTTTTATACCATTTTATGCTGCAAAAGCTAATTTGCTGTTGTGGTAGAAGCAGAGACTCTGCATAAAACATGCAGCATGCATCTAAAAATATTTCATGCAGCTCTAAATTTACTAATTAGCTTCATTAAATTACTTTACAGAAAGTACTAATAGCCAAAACTGTTCAGATGTGAACTACAGCACAATTGAGGAATACCAGGACATGCTAATACTGCCAAACGGCCAGAGTAGGCTATATAGTATATATAGAGAAAAAAACATGAAACAAGACTTGCTGTTTAAGCATACCATGTTGTACCTAGTATATTAGTAATAAAGAAAGCACATACTGTAAGCTCCAGACTGACACAGATTAAAGTTTCCTGCAACAAAAAGAAATATTATGACTTTTAATTGTACTTTAACAGTGCTGACAAAGCAGGTACTTTTACATTGAATCACAAGAGCACAAACAAGCAGCTGACCTGTCGAGTGTCGAATACGTGTAGGCTGGTTTGCAGAGGGGTTTTCTCTAAGATGGACGGAAAGTACGTAAGAGGGGTTTAAAGAGGGAGGATGTCGATATGGAACACCGCTAGTATTTGGGGGTGGGGGGTTGTATGCATCTGAAAAAGATCACGCCCATGTCCTGGCATAATGATATCAATGATATTTTTTAGGGACGTCGGCACTGGGTCTGTTTCTGTCAATTGTTACTTCATGGCTGCCCTGCTGTGTCTGAGAGATTTCACTGTGCGTCTCTATGCCAGCGTGATGTTTGTATCTTCTTGCGTCGCTATGTGTGTGAGTACGCGCGTGAGCATTTCTTGATTCTATTTTAGAAAGCCACCTGTTAATGACATTAAAAAGCATGGCACCAAGCCCACTCGAAGGCTGAGGTTACAGCATGCATGTGTATGGGTGTTTGTGAGGGTAATTCTGGGAAAATGAGACCTGGAATTCTGAAGCAGTGTCAATATCAGTATTTCAAGCGTAGCAATTTACTTTAAATATTGATTTAGACTGCCTGCACAGCACAACGGTGCAAAATTATACGGACCAGCTAAAACAATGCAGGTCAAACAAAGTATTTATTTATTTAATCTGTCGAGGAATTGTTTTAAATTTAGTTTAGAAAACTTAATCTGAAAATTGAATGCTGATTAAACTAATAATTTATTATTTATTTATGTATTTATTTATTTTTATTTCACTAAAGCATCTCCAGATGGAAGGTTGTGTTTGTTTATTTCTTTATTTTAATTATTTAGACTTTATTTTATTTGTTGGTGAATTAATTATATTGTTAAAACTGCATTATTAAACTGATAGTCAGACTTGCACATTTGCTAAATTAGTGTCAATTTTGATGTCTTAAAAATTAGTTGAAAATGGGAACAGGGAAACAGATCTGGTTACCAAGAACACAAACAGAAACATCCTTGATACCACAATTCAAACTTTCTTGACAACTAGTTAAGTAGGGTGGTTAAGGTACCTATTTACAGATGTTATGTAAATGTGAGTTATGTGGATTAGCCAAATGTAAAGTCCCCTTTTGATGTCACAGTGCATGTCAAGTGAAATATGACCATGGACATGCACAAGGGGCGCCTACTGGACAGTGTCCCACTGGGTTAAATACATTTACATTTATTCCTTTATGAGCATTATACATATTCAAACAATCAAGATTTGGCTTAGGTAGAACGAACCCCTCAGTCACCAGTCTTTTTTTCAATACTGTGACAGTAAATAGCAATCATCTTTTTGAACAAAGAACATCAAGAGGCTTTGTAACAACGTCAGGATGAGCAAATGATGAACTAGTGAACTAAAACAGCTGAACTACCCTTATAGTGCATACAGTGGGTATAGAAAAGAATCACCCCCCTTTAAAATAATCACAATTTGTTGCTTTGCAGCCTGAAATGAAGATGGACACAGTTTTTGTTTTGTCCAGCTGTAATCCAAGTGAAAGATATAACACTAACATGTCAGAAAAATAAAAACTTGACTTGTAAACTTAATCAGATGTAGCTAATCACCTTCCCAATGGCACACAAAGCCATTTGACTTTCAACTGTTGTCATTTTGATTAGCTCAGCATGAAAAGAGCTTTCCTGGAGCATGTCAGTCCTTGGTAGTGCAACTAAAGCAAACAATCAACTATGGGTGGCAAGGCATTGTCAAAAGATCACTGGAATAAAGTTGTGGACAGGCACAAGTCAGGAGATGGAGACAAAAACATTTCAAAGGCTTTATCAATGCCTATAAGCACAGTGAAATCTATTATTAAGAAGTAACAGGTATTTGGTACAATGCAGACCCTCCCTGAATCAGGACGTCGCTCCAAACTGGATGAAAGAGCCGGAGGAAACTGGTCAGAGAGGCTACCAAGAGGCCTACAGCAACTCTGAAGCAGTTGCAGGAAATTATGACAAGGAGTGGTCATTGTGTGCAAGTGACAACAATATCACATATTCTCCACAAATGTGGCTTGTATTGGAGAGTTGTAAGAAAAAAAGCCACTCCTCAAGAAAGCAGTCACAACTGAGCTTTGCCAAAACGCACCTTGAAGATTCTGAGGCAGATGAGACTAAAATTTGATTATTTGGCCTCAACACCAAAGGAAATGTCTGGTGGAAATCCAGTACAGCTCACCATCCAAATAACGCCATTCCTACAGTAAAGCATGGAGGTGGTAATGACTTGAAGACTGCAGTCCAGAAATGGTAACCATCAAATTTAACTGAACTTGAGCAGTTCTGCAAATATTGCAAAGTCTTGATGTGCAAAGTTAGTACAGACGTATCCCAAAAAACTAAGGGCTGTAATTAAAGCAAAGGTTGGTTCAACAAAATACTGACACAATTGGGTGATCCTTTTTCCAACTCAGGGATTTTTTTTTTCTGAAATGTTGGTGTTATATCTTTCACTTGGATGTTATAAGTTGCACTGAGTAAATACAGCTGGATAAAACA